ATGACATTTCTACAAGGAATAGTGCTACTATTCACTACAGTATCTTTATGGAACTATAAATTTTAAAACACGAAGAGATTGAATGCGCACCATTTTTATAAGAAAAAGTCGGATAGTCACGAGATTACACTTATTCGTGTATATTTGTCCTTTAAAATAATCATAAAATCCTAATGATTTTAATCTTAATTCTGAAATTCACATGAGATTTTTGGGATTATCATGAGATTTTCGGATTTTTATTGGGATTCAAAATCCTGAAAATCCGCTGTTTCTCCCTTGAAAGAGATAGAATGTCGTTCTTTAATAGATGACGTAGCTAAGCTCTCGTATTATCTGTATAACCATTTGAATCAAACCTATACCTACTAATATGAAAAAAAAAACAATGGAAAAAATTTGAGAAAAACTACTGAAAAATCAATTTTTCTTAAATTTTTGTCGTAGACTGTAAATGAAGTTTCATCATAAAATAGCAAAAGAAAATATTTACATTTGACGTTAACGAAAATCTTGATATAAAAACACAGCTAGCGTTGAAATTATAAATAGACGAAGTGATCTCTCTCAAAACATTAATCTATTATTCAGCAAACTCGATTCGTCAGAAAATAATAGTATATATTCCTGGTGAAAAATATTCACTACTTTTAATCGGATTTTTCTGCAACAAAATCCAAATTAAAATCGATCGATAACTTTGATTATCGTTGATCATGACTTAACTATTACTTGATACTGTTACTTATCCAGTGTGAAATTTTCTGATTAAAATTGGATTATTCTACAGCAAAATCCAAATTATTAATCGATTTATAATCTTAATTTTGTTGCAGAAAAATCCGATTAAAATTAGTAAATATTTTTCACTGGGTTCTGTATGTTCAATCGAAACTCCCAACGAAGTACCTCGAAATCAACGATGAACGGTACGGCAAACACGGCATCATTACCAAATGCTACTCAACAAAAGCAAATACGTGTGCAAAATTATTTGGTTATCTGGGTTGATGGCAGCATTGACTTGAATAACAAGGATTGCCAAAATACGTTGACGCAATTGCGCGGAGTCGTCAGAAAAGTGAATCTCTGTACCACACCAAAAGAATGTATTCAATTTTTGAACCAGATGGATGACGAAAGAGCTTTCATCGTCGCTTCTGGTGCATTAGGTCAACAACTAGTGTCTGAAATTCATCATATGGCACAAGTGGATACCATATACATTTTTTGCGGAAACAAGGCTCGACATGCGGGATGGACAAAATATTGGCCAAAGATTGAGGGCGTTTTTATTTCAATCACACCAATTTGTGAATCGTTGAAGAAGGTGGCTCGCGAATGCGACCACGAAACCATACCGATGAGCTTCGTTTCAAAGCGAATGGTTGCACCGGGTGAGCAAAACCTCAATGAATTGCCATCGTCATACATGTATACGATGCTGTTCAAAGAAATTGCATTGGACATTGATGAAGATGATGGCAACTCTATAAATAATCTTATTGTGTTTTGCCGTAATAAAGGAGCTCCTGAGTCCGAATTAAGACAATTTCAGCATGGATATCAACAGAAATCGCCAATATGGTGTTATAGCCAAGAGACTTTTCTCTATGGCATGCTCAATTGCGCCTTACGATCTCTCGACATGGAAACCATGGCTAAAATGGGATTTTTTATTCGCAAGCTTCATCAACAGTTGAGGCAATTACACGAAGGGCAAGCGAGGTCATTTATGGAACAGTTTATTGTTTACCGTGGTCAAGGACTCCTCCGAGATGATTTTCAACATCTAGTTGACACGAAAGGTGGGCTTCTTTCGTTTAATAATTTCTTATCTACCAGTAAAAAGCAACATGTTGCCATGGGATTTGTTGAACGAGCACTTAACAAATATGAAGATCATGTGGGTATTCTCTTCACAATGACCATTAATCCAAGTAAAATATCCATCTCAAAAACTCCGTTTGCTCTAATTGATGAGCATAGTGCTGTGCCACAGGAAGAAGAAATTTTATTTTCAATGCACGCTGTCTTCCGCGTCGACGTAATTAAACAAACAAAACAAAATAGTCGTTTATGGGAAGTACAATTGACTCTCACCGACGACAATGATCCACAATTGGCTGCTCTTACAGATCGGATGAAAAAGGAGATTGATGGCTCCAGATGGCATCGCATGGCTAAACTGATGTACAAATTGGGACACTTCAATCAAGCTGAAGAACTCTACATGGAATTACTCAAGAATGCTTCTAGTGACGGTGATAGCGCATTGATTTATCATCAACTCGGATACTTGAACGGAGAACAAGGTGAATACAAGGATGCAGTTGGATTTTATGAAAAAGCATTGCAAATCTATCAAAAAACTCTCCCGAAAGATCATTCTTTATTGGCAAGTACCTACAACAACATCGGCTTAGCGTATGACATGATGGGCGACTACGCGAAGGCACTTGACCTTTACGAAAAAGCACATCGAATTAAAGAAAAAACTTTGCCTCCGAATCATCCCGATCTGGCTATTTCCTACCACAACATTGGTGGAATGTATAAACATATGGGTGCCTATTCGAAAGCACTTGAATATTACGAAAAAACACTAGAAATCGACAAAAACACTCTGCCTGTGAATCATCCCGATTCGGCTACTTCCTACAACAATATCGGTCGAGTGTATGACAACATGGGCAACTACTCGAAAGCACTTGAATTTTACGAAAAAGCACATAGAATTAGAGAAAAGACTCTGCCTCCGAATCATCCCGACTTGGCTTATTCCTACAATAATATCGGTATGGTATATGACAACATGGGTCACTACTCGAAAGCACTTCCATTACTTGAAAAAGCACTTACTATTGGTCGAAAATCCCTATCACCCATGCATCCTCTAATCAAAGCAGTTGTAGATAACATTGCCGATTTGAAAAAGAAGCTGTAAATTATTTTTGAATTGTATGAATAGATTCTTATTGATTTGCATTCACACTGCTCAATTTTTCTCGGCTTTTTATCACGTGAGTACGTGAGATCAAGAAAGCTCCTGTAAACCTGCAAAGATCCTAAAGGTGTATGTGGGTATGAGGTGTGGTTGGGTGTGTGGTATGATTGTGGGGTGGTGTTCTTCTTTTATGCTGACCCGATCTTACCCCACACCCACACCCACATCCACACCAACACACTCACAACCACACCTACACACCCGGACACTCACACCCACACACTCACCCCACACCCACACCCACACCCTCTTTATTTACCTTTACACTTTGACAAACAGAGATCTGCTTTATCGTTTTCTTCAACTATAAAAGAAATCTTTACCTTCATCTTTAAATAAAAAATAAAAAAAAAAAGATAAATTAACAGATCTACTTGACATGAGCAAGTTGACACTGTTGTTCTTGTTAAAAATGAATTCTCGTTTATCCTGTGAATATTTCGTGTAAAATTATCGTTGTATTCTATTGAAATAAATAAGTATGAGTATAGTCATTTAATCCAATATTCACTAAAGAATCGAAGTTGACTTACAAATTCCGATGAACTACACTTATCATTGTCTGTGTTCTTTCCAAATGAGATTCGCTTTTTTAAATTAAGTTAAGAACTATTATTCTTTGATAGGTAAAATAAAAGCAAACCTTTAGGATGGATGCCGCTGATACACTTTTGACTTTCTCATTGTCTATGCCCTCACTATTTACTTAAGATAAGTCATTCAATTAGGGTGAACAGTAGTGTTAAACAAAACATAATCTAATTCATTCATTATCTATTTACATCATTGGACAATAGAGAAAAATGCCCAATTGTTCTCACTGGCGATATTGGTCAGACAGAATGAACGACTATAAATATATAATGATTGACATTTCTAAGCTATAAAAAATCAAGAATAGGTGAAAATGAACATCGAATATTCACCCTCACAACTGAATGATCTATCTGATGAAATTCTTATTTACATTTTCAAAAAACTAACCAATGCTCAAGTACTTTACTCATTATTAGGTGTCAATAAAAGGTTAAATAAAATTGTAAATGATTCAATGTTTACAAATAATTTAACTTTATATTGGTACGAATCGAATGATTCTATTGATCGATTAACGAATTCAATATTAGATAGATTTTGTTGGGAAATTTTACCAAAAATTGATCATAAAATAAAATGGCTTACTCTTGATTCATTATTAATCAAACGTGTTGTTCGTTCTGGAAATTATCCTAATTTATATGGGCTTTCTATTTATAACATTGATATGGAAACAGTTTCAGATCTCTTTATTGGTGAGAGATTTTTATTTTCAAATACTTTAAATAAATATTAATATAGTAAAATAGATAAAAATCAATACGATTGATATGAAGAAAGTCTAAACATAGTTAACAAATTATTTATTGAAAAGTCCTTTTTTTTGTATTTATTGACGAAATAGGATTAGGGAATAGAGATGTGCATGATTACCTTTTTCTAGATCTAGTTTCGATCCACGTCCTTAAGATTTTCAGGTTCTGCTCTTGACGAAGAAGAGAGAAAATTATCCGAATCTTACCTTAAATGAAACTTATCTTTAAATATTCGTTGTTCGATTGATTGATTAGATAAGATATAACTTAACATTGATTTTACTTTTGTATGATATTTAACATACAGTGGAGGTGAAAAGAATTTGGTCCGTTTATTTGTTTTAGTCTACTGACATTGCTTTGCTTCATCTTTTAGTACATTCATTTTGAACAACAAGTAAAATTTCTAAGTTAAAAGGTATGAAAAGAGAAAATGTAAGATTTTTTATTTCTAGAAAAGTCCCTCAAATTGGTATAAAAACTACATAATTATCATTGATGTTTACCATAAACTAAATAAGATCAATTTATGATATGCTTTATCAATTACTCTTATTCAGAATAAAACAATTTATTTGAGTTGAGTCGTCAATGATTAGGTATAACAACAAAAAAAATTCTCAATTTTTTGGTTTCGTTTCCATAAGACTTTTCCTCGTATTTCGCTTCGGTGGATTTCTATTTTTCTGCTGCTTTACGGCTCATCTAACCACCATTTTGTACCGAAGTTACATCGATCGTCGACGTTGCAACTTCGACGGACAATAATGACAAAGTTAGTGCAGATCACATAAATCACAAATAACTACCAATTAATTAATGATATTATAATAAAGATATATGGTCCAGGCACATTTCGAATATCATGTTAATGAGCTAGAAAGCTTAAATAAATAGCAACAATTAGATAACACAGGGTCAATAATGAGGGTGAGCTGGATATAATGGTGACTGCTGGTCTTGCTCAGCGAACGAGGAGAGCAAGAATCAAATGAAAATAAAAAGTCGCATGGAAACAATCTTATTCATATATGAGGGGTTTCAACCTGAGTTAAGCATTAGACACTGCTACGAAGATCTGACTCTGACCTTTACCATTGTTTATTATCCTATCGTTTTCTATTTGTTGGGATTTGTGTACACTCCGTCAGGTTCCATCCGAACCCGGTACAAAGCTCTTACTGCATATAATACCTATATCTAGTTACTATTATAGATCGGCAAATCAAGGAATATTTCATCCAATTGTATACTATCGTCTATGATTTTTTTTTCAATGTCATTTCAAGAATAATCATAGTCATCCTTTGCTTTCTGTTCTTCGGTTGTTGTCGATGAGACTAAATCGTCTCTATATTTGATGACTAAGATTGACTGATTATTGAGTGTGGATAATCTACTTTTTTCAGATAGGGTAATTTGGAAAATTTGTAGACTGCTACTTGCTCAACGTAAACAAATTTAAAAAAGTATCTCGTTTCTTCCGAGCGACAATCAGATTCAGATTCGAAACAAATCTACTATTGTTCATTTCAGAATTAAATGGCCGTGGGCATTTTTTGAATAACTTTTGATAGAAACGAAATAGAGATCTGTGGTTTTCATCGTTGGAAAGTCCAGATGAAGACACATCGAATTATATAAAGAACGATTTTTCTAGCTGCGTTTCTATAGGCTTTACATAAAACTTTAAGAAAAATAGCTTGCTTTTCATGGTCAAGATATTAATTTATTGATCTTCAGGAGTGCGCTAGAATCACCAAAGGAAGGGCTACAAAAATATAGGAACATCCTGCTTCTAACTACTACCAGTGAGATATCGAAATCATCGGAACACAATTTATCACCTCACTTTTTTCAACAAAATAATCAAAATATGTCAATTTTCATAGTATTTTGATAGAAAAATCACTTTCTTAACGTAGGAGAAAACAGCAATTCTTTAAAAACTTTTGTCTAAACCTTTAAAAAACTAGTAAGAAAATTTTTTTCTATACATAATTCGATGCGTCTTCATCTGCTCTTTTCAACCGTGAAAACCAAAGATCTCTATATTGTTCCTATCAAAAGTTATTCAAAAAATGCTCACGTCCATTTAACTCTGAAATAGACAATAAGACTATTATGATTACAGTTTGGATCCAGACCCAGAAAAATCTGATTAATCGAATCCGGCTTCGTAACCGCAAATATTTAATCGGCTGGGTCCAGAAATCTTTGGATCCGAGGGGCTCTAGATTTCTCTAAGTTGTGCATTCATTTAAATAAAATTTCAATTTTGTTAAGGCAAATTTGAAATTTGCCTCTCTATTCGAATATTTACCTTTAACATATTTTAATTAGAATATAATCAATTAATTGTTCATTATTTCATATATACATCATATGAATTAACTTGATCAATTTTGTTTGTTGCAGTTGCAACTTTGACGGCGAGTATAGTTACGATAAGAAACATATATGAATTGAAATTTTGAAAAAAGTCTTATATGAATAGAAAAAAATGCTTAGAGTAATATCTAATGAAATTCGAAATATTCTCTTCACTTTTTTTTTTACCTTTAGATAACATTGATTTTTTTCATATATTGAAAAATCAAATATCGTCACTTGTTATTGGAAATGAAACGAAACATGGTTATTACAATTTAGATATTACTTGTATTATATTTGGAAATATTTTTAAGAATTTTCAAAATTTAGAATATTTAAAATTTGAACCATCAATAAATTGTAATGAAAAAATCTTCTATAATCATTTAGTTCCATCAATATTCTCTTCTACTCTACTTAAATTGGATGTGAACGTGGCAACTATTCATGATTGTCTTTATTTACTTGATGGTCGTTTCAACAAACTTGAAACATTAAATGTTAATATAGTAGTGCCATTTTCGAAATCATTCTTTAAAAAAATAAATAATAAAGTATGTTTTTACAAATTGAATATTGAAAATAAATTCAAATATTCTTTATCTTTAGGGAAGTTTACCAAGTTTGAAATCTTTTTCATTAATTTGTGATTTGAGAATAGATTTTTATGATGAAATTCTTCTACCACTTTTACATCGAATGTCGAATTTAGAAATGTTGACTGTATGTTTTGGTGTTTGTGGAAGACAAACATTTATCGATGGAAATAATTTAATGGAAAACATTGTTAGTGTAATGGCAAAGCTAAATAAATTAACATTTAATATTCGTTCATATGTATCTCTTAATAATCAAATTAATTTTCCATCAAATAAAGATATTAAAAATACATTTAAAAATTTTCGAAATAATGAAATAATATCTTATGTTAATTATTTTAAAGAAGCAAAACAAGGTCAATGTCATATTTATTCATGTCCATATACATTAAAATATTATCATTATATAACAAATAATTTTTCAGGTGGTTTATTTAAATCTGTTCGTCAAGTTGAATTATATGATGAATATTCATTTGAACATGAATTTTTTATTAAAATTGAAAAATTATTTCCATTATTAGAAAAATTAACTTTGAAAAATAATAAACCACAAATAAATAAATGATACAGTATATTAAATAAAGGTAATCAAACAATTATATCATATCCTTATCTCAATGATCTTTCATTATATGATGCTCATTATGATTATATTGAAGAATTTTTAATTCATACAAATATTTCTTTAATAAATTATGTTTGTCTTCGTATTAATTATAAATCATTAAAGAAAGTTACAAACAATTTTAAAAGAAATGAAACAAAAATTAATTGTAACAAAGTCAATTGTTTATATATTTTTGGACAATTTAAAATAAGTCAATCTATGACAAATTATTTTCCTCACGCATATATATCAAGAATATATTAATTTAATTCATTTCTCTAGGATCAATCTATGCAAATAAAAGATTTTATTAAAAATAATCAATATTTATCTATACCTGAACAATTCTAACATCTATTTCTATTGATTTGTTATTAAATATATTCTATAAATAAAACTTTATTTAAAGATAAAACGAAATTTTATTTCGAATTCAATGGGTCTACTATTATATAACACGAAATATCTATGGTTTTTAAAGTAAATAAGGAAAATTAATGAATAAAGAGCTATTTTATGACAATCTTCATCAAAGCTATACAAAATAAATATACTTTAATAATAAAGTATATAACGCAACAGATCGTCTATTTTATTTAAATAGCCTTCGGCTATCCTTTTAAATAATTTCTAAATAAATCCAATCTTGAATAACCATCTTAGATTTTTCAGGATTTCAACGAGAAAGGAAAAGATCGAAGATTTTCATTGACTCATGGAGTTTTTAACCTTCGAATAGATTAAATATCTTTGATTGGATCAATTCTAATGGTTAAGAGCAACATTTATTTATCTTTATGAAAAAAAAAAACTTTGAATAAACTCCTATTGATAAGGAATAACTCATCCCTTTGGTTCAATCATTTGGAAAATATTTTTATTTATAATTGAATCTCTATTGAATGGATTTGTCTTAATAGATGTTTAACATCACAGAAAGAGAAAACGAAACAAAATTTATATTTGACAAATTTATCAATAAAATAAATCAACTCAATAGAAGATAATATCCAATATTGAGATTTATT